AGTACATTTTCCATTTTGATCAGTCATATGTCAAAACACATATAATTTAATCCATTACAATGTATGACAAGTAAAATTATTTGCCTTATTATCGTACGCGTTTCTTTTACCATTGATCGACTTTTGTGCACTTTTTTCTGCTTTTTGAAATTAGATTTTTGAGATGACTTTTCACCATATTGATCACTCACGTGCGTCCGTTTGTGATTCTTCAAATTTCTGCGCCGTGTGAATCCCTTATTGCATACGTCACATTTGTATGGTCTCTTACCGGTGTGTGTCCTAATATGGTAATTCAGAGTGGACAGGTGGGAGAATTTCGCACCACATACGTTGCATTTGTATGGTCTTTCACCGGTATGTATCGAAATATGACGTTTCAGATTGCTTCGACTTCCGAATCGCCTATCACACACTTTACACTCGTATGGCCTTTTACCGGTATGTGTCATCTGATGTTTTTTGAGTTGACTGATCTGTCTGAATGCTATCTCGCATGCGTTACATTTGTATGGCCTTTCACCGATATGTATCCTATTATGGCGTCTCAGAGTGCTTTAATCTGCGAATCCCTGTCACATACATTACATGTGTGTGGCCTGTCACCAATATGTGTCACTTTATGTTGTTGCAGATAGCCTCCACGTGTAAATCCTTTACCACACACGTCACATATGAACCGTCCTTTGTCCGTGCCGTTGTTATTAGCCACGGTCATTATTTCGCCGTCATTTCTTAGCCTTTCTTGCTTTAGCAAATGGTCTTTTTTTGGTGCCTAAAACACAGTGATTCTTTTGTTGATTCCTCAAATTTTTAAACATAATAAGCAGAGGAATTGTGCAGACATCGTTGTGGAATCTTTAAATAGCATCACTTCCTCGTTTGATTTTACAATATTTTAAAAGAAACTCGATGAATTGGAATTATAATTTGAAAAAAAGTCAATGCTGCTATTTTGATTTGACACGGAATGATTAGTATACCGATGTAAAAAAAAATAATTTAAAGGTTCAACGTACAAATTTTTGCTTTGTTATATTTCTTGTTTTACTCATTACGTAATGTGACAGCAAGCCATTTTACCCTTAGCTAAGATAACAAATAATACTTTATTTAATTTCACATACCGTTATTTGGACGATATATGTTGAGAACAGGAATACAGCGAAGTAATGTGACAATAGCATGGTCGACGTGTTAATTGCAATTGGTACGAGCGACCTAACCAATCAAACGAAGCAGAAACTGTCGCATTAAGAGAGAGAATCGTTTTTTTTTTTTTTACATTTCATAAGCCGTACGATCTGTGATCACACAAAGAATCATAGAACTGTTATCTTTTTGCATAATAGTTTTGACTTTTTCATTCAAAAATTTTTTGTTAGTGAAATTAAAAAGCCATAATTTTATGTAAATGCGATATTATAACCGACAATATATTTCGGAATTGTCACCAAACTTTTCCGACTCGGAATAGAATAAATCAATGATCTGAAGAGAATACAAAGTAATGTACTACATAATCGTCAACAAAGAAGTCAAACAATTGTTAAAAATCAACTTTGAATTTTATTTTTATATTATTATTAAACTAGAACTTAATAAAAAATTTAACAGATTTCAGAATCCTCATCCGTATGGATTTTTAGAATGTTCAGTAACTCAATGTTATCGAAGAATCATATATAGCAACATTAACTGTGTATGCTATGGAATAGAACAGAATTTAACGGTTTGTGTTTTAAACGTTTCAAACACTTCTGTGTTTGTCAGAAATTCTTCAATCAGTAAAATGATTGCATTTCTGATGTACGCGGAGAAGTTTTTAAGCCATAAAATCTGTCATAAATGTGAAATTCAGCACATATTCACTAACAGGACAAATCTAAAATTTTCTGTTAGTGACATTGGTGAGTCATAGTTTTATGCAAATGCGATTATAACCGACAACATATTTCGGAATTATCACCAAACTTTCTCAACTCGAAATAGAATGAACCATCCGAAGTGTATACCGCACAGTATGTTGCATGTAATCATCACTAAAAAATGATGATGCATTGTTATTAAAAAAGTTTTAACAATTTGAAACTATGAAAATTCAAAATAATTGTTATTGAAATTTTACATGATGAAAATTGAAGGTAAAAAGTCAACAAAATCTAAATTAATTTTTTAGAAAGTCTGTCTGTCTATTTTGGGGAAGAAATCAGTTGCCGAATATCTGTCTCAATTACACCTAATTGTAGCCGAGTTCAAGTTTCATGACAGGTAATCTTCTTGACTTATGAATGTAAATTTGGAAATCCAAAAAAATGAAGAAAAGGGTGCGAAGAAAGAAAAATTTGCTAATATTTTTATTCTATCAATTATGGACACTAACTTGTGCAATGATATTTGCACTTCCGAAATTTTCTATTCCAAAATGTAATATATTTATATGTGAATTATAAAATGTTTAAAAAAATTTTTTTTTCTACTTGCAAAATAAGAAAAAGTAAAAAACTTATAAAAGGAATTTCCATAATTTCAAATTGTTAAAACTTTTTATAAAAGGAAATCAATATAAAATTTTTTCATAGCTGTTTTTTTGCATCAAATATTTATGCCCAATTCGTACAATCATTCGTACAATTTTTTTTTTCAATTTAACATCGAAAATGATTTTTGAATCGTTCGATAAAATTTATGGCTGAAAAAATATTTCAAGTATAATTTTTCGTTTTGATTTCAAATTAATCAAATTTGAATTTTCATATTAAAAAAATACTATGATTTAGACATTGTTATTAATATATGATAGTGTATTTTTTTTTAATTTTTAATTAGATCAGTTACTATGATTTACCATTAAATAATTCTAGTTAATTTTTTCTAGTATTTTATGAATTATTATGGTCATTGTTTATTTGAATGGAAATTAATGAATTAATTAAAATATGCTGTTATTGTCAGGCATAGGTATAGGATTGTATTAATAGCAATTACAGATTTATTCACACTGCAATAGTATTTGTCTTATTATTATTAATAAAATCAATAAAATCATGAATGATATATATTTAGAGTTTGTAATAGCAAATAGAACTTTTGTTTTCCGCATATTATTTCACTGGAATCGTTTAATCTACAAGTTTGGTAAAATGGCAACGAGAAATTTTCAATTTTTTCATCTAAAATTTGAATTACTTCTGAGAAAGAAAAGTGAGATACTAATTAATATACGTTATCATTAAGACATATTTTCCGATAAAGATAAATGATAGATTAAACTAGGAGCAAAAAATTAGACAAAAAGACAAAATTATCAACTAATCAATAAAGAACAGAAAAAAGAAAATTCTGAAATTTTTTTTGATGAAATTTTTAAACAAAACTTACAGTTTTTATCGCTTTCTTTTTATCCTCTCACAACTATCACTGTTAAACTTATCAAATTGAGAAACTATAATGTAATGATTCAAATAAAATGGATTTTGATGTATCTCGACAAAGATTTCTATTTATTTATGATTAATTTATTTCATGATGTGATGTTCAGAAATCCATCAATTATTTATTAATTTTTATTCGTTTTTTTTTTGTTTTAACAGATCATGAAGACAAATTTAGCTTTTCAACAACACAATAAATTTGCAATTAATGCTTTAGTCTTAGAACTGAAAGTAATTCTGAAATTATTTTGATTTCTTTACTCATAGCTCCGTTACCGTAACATTGTAGCACAGATTGTAATCGGAAAAGAAATAGCTTTTGATGTTTTCTGATTTCATTTATACGTTTATGTTGTTTCCTGAATTACTTCCGTCGTTCCTACATTTAGCACCGTTAATTCTGATGCTGCATCACTTCTTGATTCTGTTTTCAGATTTTCAGGCGTCATTTCTGTTGAGCCTGATTCTGCATCACTTGATCCTGTTTTCAGATTTTCAGGCGTCATTTCTGTTGAGCCTGATTCTGCATCACTTGATCCTGTTTTCAGATTTTCAGGCGTCATTTCTGTTGAGCCTGATTCTGCATCATTTCTTGATCCCGTTTTCAGATTTTTAGGCGTCATTTCTGTTGAGTCTGATTCTGCATCAGCATTTGATTCAGTTTCCGTATTGGATTGCGTTGTTGTCAATGTTGTCAATGCTCTATTTGATTGTGACGTTTCTGCAGTGGTTTCTGTAGCTTCGGTACCTAATTTTGACGTTCCTGCACCAGGTTTTGCTTTCTCATTTAATTTCGATGCTCCGTTTGTCGTTTTTGTTTCAAATAATGTTGCATCGCTAAACATTTCAGATTTTGTAGTGAGCTTTTCTTTGTTCAATTTATCATTGCAATCTTCAAATTCATGAAATCTGTAAAGATTCTGTTCCAACCATACACTTTCAATTTTTTCCTGCGTATTGCAGTAGGAGTTTTTGCAAATGCAAACTGGTAGCTTTTCCGCACTTCTTATATAACTATTATATCTTGGATCCAGGAAACATCCTTCTTTGAATTCGTTCATACTGCAGTTTATTCTATTTCTCAACTGAAATCATATAATAATCATTAAATTAAATCATCATTTAATTAATAATGCATACAGCAATTGCACAAATTTTCAACTTCTGAAAAAGATGATGATCATGCTGTAGAAGATGCCATAGTTTTGTAACCGAAAGACTAAAGTATACCATACTCAAATATCACTTATCGATTATTTCTCATTCAATTCACTTTCTTAATGTTACAGAAACAGTTGAAATTTGAAAATGGAAAATGGATAATACCTCAGCGGTAGAATAACATTTCCTATCCAATGGTATTGCTCGAAGATACCAATTTTGAGCACCTCGATCGTACTGCAAAAAAAGAAATAAATTTCTTATTTGTGAAAAAAATAAGAAGTAAGAAAATTATTCAAATTTTCAACTTTTTTTCATTAATTAAATATATTTTCAACATTATCAAATAAAAAAATTGTAGCAAAATATTTATACTGCTCAAAATTTCAAGCACTTTTTTTTTACAAATAATTGAAAATCCGGCAAATTAACTAATTTAACTTATCGCAGATTAAATTTAAATATAGTAAAGTTAAGCAGAATGGTTCCTTATGTAACATTTATTAAGCAATTAAAAAATTTGCAAAAAATAAAAAATTACCAAAGATGCACAAAATTCTTCGCCATCATTGCATTTATGAGATTTCTCCGTAAATGATGAATACGAATCCCAATGTACCGTATAACAGATTAACGATACAGTATAACTGACATTAATAAATAGCAGCAGTGTTATGTAAATAATTAAATCATACATTTTTCTCATATTTCTCCTAAATTTAGAAATTCAAATAAAAATTATCTCTGTTATTTAGAGATGATAATATCGTGTGAAATCAGTTTAAAGCTTAATTATGATACGATAATAAATATGTCTTACGATTACGGTAAGTCAATAGGTATACCGAGGATAATAGAAAAAAAAACTAATATGATCAAGTGAGTAAAAAAAAAAGATTGCTAGTTCTAACATAAACCTTAAATTAAGTAAAAATACAACATAGCATTAAAAAAATTTGAATTAAAATACCATATGAAAATAAAGTGGATTTTTTTCAATATCTTTTTCAAATATTGCATTACTGTAAAGGGATTCCAAGATATGTTCAGCAAATTCAGCTATTATATCAGCAATTGATCATACTCATTACGATGAAATCAATTAATCCAATTACTATTATAAGATATTTTTGTATTAACAAAAGTAAAATGAACGAAAATTTGATTGTTCATAAGTTATACACATTTTGAAATTTGAATTATAGTAATGCAGTATTTGAATACGATTTTTTTCTACTAAACGAAATTTTAAATACTATAAGGAATACGATTGAAAGAAATTCTAGAAGAAGTTTTGCATGATTCAGCTTGATTACAGCAAGTTTAGATATTAATTAAATATATGCAAAATTTTGTTTCCTACTTTCAAAGCAGCATAAAATTTGCATATTAAAAGACAGTGATTTTATTCAAATAATTATTAAAAATTTATGACTTGATGAAATTAATCATTTAAAAAAAAATTGCTTCTTAATTGAAAATATAAAAAACTTACTGATTGAAATAAATTGAAATTCAATTTTACTACTGCTCCTATGTATTCAATAAATTTTTTTTTGAAACACCAATAAATGAAAAATAAAACAACATTTTCTTAAACTTAAAGACGAGAAAATAAAAATTTCTTTTGCTATTTCTTTCTTTCTTTCTTTCTTTTGCATTTTTTACACGTAAAAATATGGGAAATAATAAACGCTTATACATTTTTGTTTGTCAAAGACGCAGATTTTTCAAGTAAAGCTTAAACAAAAAAAAGAAGAAAATTTAGGAGCAAAATGAAAAAAAAAATAGAATGTAAGAATGAAATATGAAAAAATGAAATATTTCCCTCACAGCGTCATCGAAAACTTTCAATAATCATTCCGTTCACATTCATTCTTTCTTTTTATTCTTTAATTTTCAATTTTTTACTTTTTTTTTGTTTCCAATGATAAATAAAACTAAACGCTATACAGAATATTTTTTTTGAATGATTAAAATTGAAAATATTATATGAAAATTCAAATAATGAATCATTCCATTTCATTTAAAGTGTTTTGTCTTACGTTTCTTCCTTTCCTTTTTTCTTGTTTTTTTTTTAAAGAGAGAAAAAAATTGTACTGAAATATATCGCTTCTTTTTAGTATTCATTTTAATTTGTTGCTGAATTAATTCAATTAATGGAATAAAGTATTAAATTGGTTTGCTAGATTATTAGGGAAATAATTATGAAAGTACTGTGGTTTTGAGAAAGCAATGATTAATTACATATTATTCTATTTGGCTTTTTGTTCTTTTAAAATAAAAAGCGATAGTCTTTGTTGCATACGAAGAAATAATAAATGGAAAGACAAATAAATAATTAGAATATTGAAGAAATTTAATGACGTATCAAATAAAAAAGTATTGTAATTTTAAGGAAACAATAAATAATTCCTGTGAAATGATAAAATAAGTGTGAAGTGGAGAAAACTGTTTTTTTTTTTTTATTTCGATATTTGCGTTTTTCAGTTCGAAATTTCTTTCTCACTTATTGTTGACTCTAATGTTTGAGAAGAAAGAATGAAAAAAAAGAAATTTTAATTTTATTTCGAAGATGATCAATAATAATAATTGTGTACTGAATTAATAAATATTCATCAACTAGCAATACAAATATCCAATGAATAATTAGGAATATTCAAAAAATAATTAAAAACCTTAATTTAAAATTATTTCCTTATCTTACACAATTTTTTAATCAACAAATTTCGACTTTTTGTTTTTTCCGTTACTGATTTGAAAAAATAAATATGAAAGAAGCAAATATGCAGAATTGAAACATTATTTTTTTAAAA